GTCTCTGTGCCTCTCTGTCAGTCTCTCCACACTGCTCACTGTCTAACTCTGTTGCACCCTGTGTACCGAGAGGCCTCATATATATGTTAACAAACAGCATTCTTTCATCTTAGCAAGATTTGATACAAGGTCAATGGAAAACACAAAGATGAACACAAGTGATATCTCAGAATGATTATTGTTGTTAGCAAATCTTGTTCTGACTTTAATCATTCTGTCTGCAGATGAACAGCATGTYAKGRAAAYCTAGGTCATTAAAGGATGTCATGAATCACCTGCTTAAACATAAAGTATTATTTCTACCACAGGATGTAAAGCATAAAAGATGGAAATCAAATGGTGTATGACTTACTTGCTGAGTACGTTTTGATGAAAATGGTCACCGTGGGCAGCACAGGCAACAGAATCCAGCGTGCAAAACTCCAGATAAAAGCTCCTAAAGCTGCAGGATTTGGGAAAATAAAGTCTTTAAATGTTGGTGACTTTTGATTTGACATAAAGATTGCTTATTCAATTCAATTTATTAGTGCCAAGTCACAACAAATGTCTCAGGGTACTGTGCATGAAAAACAATAAATCTAAAGAAGCCAGCAGACTGTGTTGAATGTTTATTTCATCACAATCTCCCATAAAATTTAATTTATATTATATTCAAAGTCAACAATGTAAGAGTTATGGATACAGTAAATTAGTCCGACAGCTTATTTTATTTGAGGCTCATTAGCAAAAGAATTAGAAAACTGGTAACACCAATTTTAATGGTTTATTTTTATAATGTAAACTTTAATTGCTCCAGAGTAKGCATGTGTTAACATTGTTGTTCTGTTAGGTTTTGACACTAAAGTCTTTCATATTTCGCTAAAACAGCTAAGTAATAAGTGAGTAATGTACTGTATGAAATGTGATCAGGTTAGGAGTTAATCTGAATTTTTTTGTGCATAGGGTAGCCTTATATTAAAAGATGTAAAATGAAAAAGCCATAAAATGTTAAATCTCCTGTACTTACAGCTGTGAAAATTGCCTTCAGCCAGTCTGATAAGGGTGTTATTTCTGCCCAGCACACCGCACCAGTAAACTCCTCTGTGGTCTGGCTTCAGCACTTCCATGCTGAAGGACTGGGTGTCCTGAGTCACTTGCAGCTTGCCTCCATCCACCAACTGAGCACTGTGGCTAAAAGTGAGGCCCGTACAGCACAGAGCTGAGGTCTTTCGGCACCAGACCCTCTGCAGGACCCTGTATTCTGGCTCATAAGGACAAGACAGCCTCTGCCACAGTACTGCTTCACTCTCACCTACACCCAGTACAATAATAATGATAAAAAATAATAAACAAAAAAGCAAGTTAAAAATTAGCCTCCAGAATACACTTAGATTTGTTGTTTTAACACAGAAAACTCGTCAATAACACAAGACTATGACAAATAGAGCTAATAAGTAAGTATCTAAGACCAGTTTCAGCCACCTTTGCTCAGAAAAGTAGAACAGTTATACATTAATTTGAAAGTTTTTGTCTTCGAAAAATTCAGATTTCCTTCATAATGAAGTAGATACTCACCTACAAAAAACAGCAACATTATAATTAAGGAAAGCATATTTGAAGCACTGACTGATTGCAAAATGCACGTGAAATGAAACACAACTTTTTTTTTTTAAGACAACCAAACTACAGGAAATGTGAACCCACAGAGGCCCTCTTATCTAAATTTATGCTGATGGGCAGATTATGTTATATCGCATCAAGTAAAAATTTCAGAACTTTTTTCTTCACTCTAATTCCCCTTTACTTTGAATATAATATATATTAAATTTTATAATTGTTTAATTTGATTTAATATGCTTGCTTGAACTTTTATTTTATTTTATTTTTCGTGATTTTTTCAAGTACACTTCGCTGCAGCATGCAGTCGGTCTTTTATTTTGAAAGGCTCAAGAATCAGTACCGGACATTTTCATTGGCTCCGTTGTTCAGCCAATGAAATGCGTTCTTGTTTACGCGTTTTCCTCTCTCTACACGTGAGTAGTGCCGAGCCGATCGCTGAAATTAGCTTCTAGCATCATGGTGAGTTCAGTAATTCAACAACTTTATTATTTTATAGTTTTTATACAACTTTCCATTTATTGGTGAGATATAATTTTTACTTATAAGTATGTGTACCTAAGCTTTCCTCTGGTGCACTACAAACGTGCAGGCTAGTTATTGCTAACACGAACAGCCAGATTATTAAATCCCGAAATTAGTTTTTAAACGAATGTTTTTGCCTCCGATATTTTGTCCATGAAAACTATTTCTGACCCATCTTTGAAACACATTTATATTCCTTCTCCCAGTCCTGTCCAGACTGGTAATAACTTGAGATTAGAGTTTAATATTTGTTTTCAAACATGAGTTCTTTTGAGACGATTGCTACGGAGGCCGCGAT